TTTCAGACCATTGAATGCCTCTTCTTGCGCCACATCCCACACCCATGGTTGATCCTTCTTGGTCAACGTAGTGAGCGGTTTGGCGTACTTGGCAAAGTCCTTGATGAATCTTCGATAGAAGTTTGCAAAGCCTAAGAAAGCTTGGACTTGTTTGACCTTAGTAGGCCGTGGCCACTCGGCTACTCCTGAAAGTTTCTTTGGGTCCATCTCGATATGTCCTTTGGAGATAATCATGCCAAGGTACTCAATGCTGCTTTTTTCAAAGGAGCATTTTTCTGGTTTGGCAAATAGATCGTTCTCCCTCAGCCGCTTCAGGACTTCCTTTGTAAGCTTACAATGTTCCTTGAGATCGTTCGAACAGATGAGAATGTCATCAAGGTAGACTATGACTTTTCCTCCTCGTATGAAATCACTGAGTACGTCATTCATCATTGCTTGGAAAGTTCCTGGTGCGTTGCAGAATCCGAAGTACATGACTGTGGCTTCATATAGCCCTCGATGTGTGATAAAAGCCGTCTTCCATTCGTCACCCTTCCGGATGCGAACATTATTGTATCCCCATCGCAGATCAATCTTAGTGAATATCGATGCTTGACTGAGTGTATCAATCAAGTCTGCTATGCGGGGGATTGGATAACGGTTCTTCACAGTTACGTCATTGATCTTCCGGTAATCCACAACTAAACGCAGCCCTCCATCATGTTTCTTGACAAAGAAAACAGGAGAGGCCAGTGGGCTTTTGGACTTTCGAATATACCCCTTTCGGAGTTCGTCGTCGATCCACTCGTCGAGAGAATTCCTCTCTTTTGGAGACATCGGGTATAGTTTGGCCGGTCGAGGTAGGGCAGCTCCTTCCTCGAAGTCAATACCATGGTCGTATGGTTTGCGCTCCGGCATCCGCTCCGATTTCTTTTGTGAGAATACGTCCCCAAACTCGTGTAGATATTCAGGGATGAGAGACTTCCACTTAGTGGTGTCCGCATCCTCCTCCTCAACATCCTTGTTCAGAATGCTTGCGACAAATTCTGCCATTTGTAGGTCCTCCGGATCATCTGTCGAGATCCAGTTGATGTATGGATTTTCAGTACACTCCTCTCCTAAAGCGTCCAGCGGAGTGACTAAGGGTTCCTCCCTTGGTAACTGAAGCTCGTCGGTTTCTTCATCAGTCACACGATTAGTTTTACGAGCTTTGGGGGCACAGTTCTCAGGGCACCTGGTGTACCTCCACTCCCCTTTGGCCCAGTCGATCTCGGGATTGTGTTTCCTGAGATAGGTCATGCCGAGGATCATGTCCTTTCTCCCCAAATCTGCGACTAGCAGTGGGTGTGTTGACTTATGTGATCCTATTTCGACGTAGGCTCTAACGGACTTATTTATTTGACCGCTTTTATTGGAGGTCCCGTCTGCGTTATAAACGTTGTACGGGGTTGCCAGTTTATGCGTCACCAGGTTGTTACTTTCAACAACTGACCGATTGATGAACGATGTTGTGGCCCCTGAGTCTACCAAAGCTTCGACCTGCACTTTCTTTCCGTATACCCACAGTGTCACAGGCAGAGTGAATGAATTCTTGTTGCGAGAGATATTTACAAGACTGCTGTGTACACTATCTACATTGATTCCGACGGTGGGTGCCGATTCCTTAAGTACATGTTCACAGGTAGTCACATGTACTTCTTCCAAAAATCCGAGGTAGCTGCGGTGGGTTCTGTCTTTGCAGACAGCTGGGGTTCATCCTTCCCAGCCAGAGTCGATTCCTCGACGTTCGCAATCTCCTCGATTCTCGCAGTGTTGGCGCTCACGGCTTTCGTGGACGGGGGCGTGTCGTCCTCGCTATCCGTAAGCTCGACTTGAATAACCCGCGTTTTCTTAGCCTTCTTGGCCGCGGGGTTACCACTTCCTCCTTGTGCCTTCTTAGCGCCATCCCCTTGGGTCTTCGGCCGCTTGTCCGCATTTTTGGCCAACTTATAGCAATCATCTGTGTTATGAGTCTTCGACTTGCAGATGACGCAATACTTCTTTGCCTCTGTCGAGGCGGCCTCAGCGTCCCTTGCCTTGCTTTTGCCTTTTACCCTTCGATTTCGACTTTCTCAGCCGAATCGATGTCCATGGGAACAGCGCCGCCATTATCCGAGCCACTGTT